AATTTAAAACCATCCAGCAGAAAGGAAGGCCTGATTGTTCCCAGATCCAGAATTCACAAATTATTGAATAGCTGTATTTCACTTCCTTTTTCTTTCTCAAGGAAAGGGCCAATGGTACCTACAGGTTAAGACTAACGAGGAATCCTACTAGTTGTGCAAAAAAACTGACTAGCATACCTTTCCTAGCTAGCTTGATGCATATGGTATAAGACTGGTTTGAATGATGTAGTGCTTAACTGTAAGATGAAAAAGAAGATGGAAAAAAATCAGCTCTGTCCATCAAGTAGAATCTTGCAATGTGTAAATTTGTTCCCAGGTTGCAGTGAGGCTGAAGCTTCAGGACAGCAGGCTGGAGCACAGCTTAGAAGGCACAAATTCCCCAGCAATCAAAACCCAAAAGCAGCTCTTTACATTTGACAGCTCTGATGTGGTAATCAGACTGCAGATAATTCACTCACACATCTAGACCCCTTTCCCTAAAGGACTCCAAGGTCGCTGGTTCTAATATACAGTGGATCTTGTTGGTTTGTTGTACAATGGGAAATGCACTCCTGAAACATAAAAGTCAAAAGTATTTTTTAGGTGAAGGAACCTTAAGCTTCTGGGCAGCTTTAGGAGCACTCATCTTCATTGCTTGATTCAGGAGTATACACTGATGTAGAACACTGAGCTAAATGTAAAATGTTGAAAACTAGATTTTGCTGAGTACTTGCAGATGATGAGACCAAGTCACAGCCTTCTCAGTTCCACAGGTGTCAAACCTATGTCAAGTTCCTGCTCAAAACAACACCCTTCTGCTTTGCGAACATGGCAGTAGCAGGGAAGCTGTCCTTTGAATGAATACTTGCAAATTCCAGACTTTCAGACATGTTACTCATTACAGAGTCAGCACTTTCAGTGCAGGGACTGTCCTGACCTGCACTGGCTGGGACTCAACACATTGTCAGCACTTAGCCTATAATGATAAATAAGGATGGGATTTTCAAAGCTGCAGAAAGGAACCTGAGCTTCCCATTTCTGTTACATCTGTAAAAACCTGGGAATGCAGATCTCTGAGCTGGCTCAGCATAAAATATGTAAGCGGTGCCTGAAAAAGGCAGGCGGGCGGGCAGATGGAGAGCAAAAGATTATGCTTTCACTCAAACTTAACAAAATGACTTCCAGAAATTTCCCTCAGTCTTAGATAACCATAAGCCCTTCCTGTTTCTCAAGTAGCTTTTACATCATCATCATCAAAAGAAAATCTCAGTGATCATGTGGTGCCGGGCCACCGGTGATCCAATCCATGCCGAGATAAACAATGCTGTCTATGCTGTATGAGCTGAAGGTAGAAGGATGCTTCTCTTAAATAGCTCAGCTATGGTCACTGAAAGCACTCTGCTTCTGAAGTCACACAGGACCAATATGTATTCTGTGGTGGGGAACAAGAGAAGCCAGATACACTCCAATAAAGAACTTATTCAAGAGCTTAGTTAGTGTAGGAACAGCAGAAGCCAACTCTTATGTACTGTGTGCTTTACACATTGCAATGTGTTTGACGAACTAAGCCTGAGGGAATCATTTGTAATACAGGATGTATTTACCTGATTTCAAAGCGGGACGATTATATGACTTAGCAGAGGCCACGTAAGCCAGCAGCAGAATCAGGAAGATTCCCTATAGCCTGTCTTATCTATGCAGGTATTCTTCCCTGTAACATTTAGTGTGAAAATGATGAAGTCAACAAAAATTTTGCATAAGTAAAGATTGCAGGATTTGGTCTAACCAGAAGTCTCACATCCTTTCCATTGGCTCCAGTGAGTCACACAGGAGCTCCTAAGCTTGGTGGTGCAAACTTTCATGAAAAGACACTGAAACCTTTTCATTCAGATGATGTTCTATAACTGACACTCTTGGGCTATGACAACTAATCTCTAGGAGGCAATGAAAGGCTTACCAGAAAATTTGGTTGAGGAAGTATAAGATTTATCTCTACCAACTCAAAGGGCTAAGTACTTAAGGCTATAGCAGAACAGCCCTTAGAGAGCAGAATTTGTGGGCCCCTAGAATTTTCTTCTACCTAATGACTCTCTGTGCTTCTTACATGCTATAAAAAACATCCCTTTTTGCATTTCAGCATCTCTATTTCCTTTGATCTGTACGCATTTCTCATTGATGCTAATAGAGAATGACACTGATGGGGAATATTTTTGCAACAAGGGGAGCATAGAATTGTTATTCTGGCTAAAGCAAAGGCAATATGACTTAAGCAGAGTTTTTAAAAGGCTTTACTCAAGGCTGGCAATTGAGCATGATACTAGGCTTTCTCTTTTTTTTTTTTTTTAATTTTCATTGAGATTACGTCCATAATTTATCCAGGTTATTGTATTCTTGTAAAATTATACTGCAACCCACTCTAGCATGTTAACAACAAAAGAAATTCTCTAGCTTATTATAAACATCTTTCAAGAAACCAGAAACACATGTCCTCTGGAAATAATTTTGCTGGTATTTAGGTTATTACAAAAAATTTCCCAAAACACTGGAATTATTTTGTAATGTTCCCTTATACTCTAGCTTGTTTGCTTAGGTTTTCTAGAATATTCTCCTGGTGCTCTGGTGTGGTACCTTCCTTGGGTTGCACAGGGAAGCTGCAGAAGAAGTCCAGAAACTCAGCAATTTGAGTCTGTTTTTGCAGTGATGATTACCTAGTAACTATGTGCCATCAATGAAAAAAAGACCTAGTGCAAACACCAGCTGTGCAATAATTACAGTTGGAAAGAAAAAATTATTTTATCCTGCAGAGATTTGGCAGGATGACAACAGTATTTTTTGCCCCAAAGCAGACTGAAAATTTAAAATCTGAGGAATTTTTAAGAATTAAAAAATTGGGGAGACAAGTATGCTGAAAATCAATAAAATGTTTCATTTAGATAAATTTTATATGTCTCTTTCTCTGTAATTATTACCATTTTGTATCTTTGTTGAAACTTCTTTTACTTCAATTACTTTAAGTTCCTCACTGATAAATCATTTAAATGCAGAAAAAATTGATTTTTTTTTCTTTTTTCTGAGAATACTAAAACATAGGGGTTTAAATAACTGTGTTGTAAAGGAGGGCAAGAGGAACAGAAATGGGAAACAGCTCTGGCATGTGTCCTGCTCAGCTTCTGAACATGCCTTATAGACTGACTTGGGTTTAGTTTACTTTGCCCTTTAAAGTACTAGTAGGTGAGTGTGGGTCTTGAGAATCCCTTGAATAATATTTGTTGTATTACTTTTTGACTTAAAACTAACTCATGTCCATAGATCATGTGTTTTCTGCAGGCTGCGATGTCTCTCCAGATGCCAAGGTGAAATATGAAAGGGAACAGAGCAGAGCCAGACACGCGTCCAACAGCAAGGCACTAAAACCGAGTCTCCTGGCTGCACGCAGCATACGGATCCTCAGTTATGCTAGGGAAAACAAAGCTGATTTCATTGTTTGAAAAGGCTTTATTCCTGCTCACCTCCAAACAGTTTGAACCTTGACTGGGGTTGCACAGCAGGAAGGGAAGAGCAAACAGCTATTTGTGGCCTACATCCTTGGATTTATTCCAGAAAGAAAAAGCATCTGGAAACAGATTTACCTCAAGTTCAGCATATGTTGATGTGCTTTATTGACCTGCAGGAAGAGCCTGAGTGCTTTAACTGATGAGAGCTTTTCCTCGGAGGACTGAAGACTAACTGATTTTTGATGGAGCCGTGTGCCTGGGCACAGTGATTAATGCAGCGTGTGCAGCAAAGGGTGGCTGTTATTCCCTGATGCCAAATGTGCTCATCTGTGTCTTTGTCCTCTCAGCATAGCTTTGGCCTGACACAATTACCTACATGGATATAAGGTTTTTTTCATGGACTTTTAAAGCATTACCTCTTCCTCTACTGAAACCTGACCTGTATGAGCAGAGCCTGCCAAGGTGCAACCCCTGCAGGACCAGCAGAGGAGAGATGCGCTCCATATCCAAGCAGCAGCATTGCCTAGGATTTTAGCTGAGATGTTCTGAAGTCACCTGGCAGGTATACTGGTATGTCCAGGTATCCTGGGTTCTACCCTGATCATGCTTCAAAGGGCAGTGGTTATTTGGGAAGGTTCCCAATTCTAAACCTCTTCTGAAAGTGAAGCCATCACAGAGTCGTTCAGGTTATTCACATGGCCTAATTTTAGGTACCCACCTTCACTTAAGTTAGGGAGTTACCACTCTGAGCTCTCTCTATTGCCAGAGAAGGGAGAAGGGATCCCCAAAAGGCAATTTAGAGCATCTAGTCTGAATTAGTAGGAGCATCAGGCTCCTACTCTAACTCATCTCTCTTTCTATTGACTATATAGGGAGCCTAGCAGACCAGCCTCTTTATATAGGCAGCTGAAAATAGTTCGTGTAAAACTCTGTGTTACCCCTGGATGTCTTGTCAGGCATTGTTATGCAGAGAAGCATCTCTCCATCTATTTGATTTGTCTGGTGAATATCTGCAGGGTTTTATCATACAGAAACTCATATCCAACAGAAACTGCCATGTGAGTTTTTCTTTTCCTTAGTATGAGCTGTATACGTACATCTCATTCCTGCAACTTCAGTTATTCCTGACTTACATCACTGTAGGGCAGAAACGGGTACCCTGTTTTTGACTTTAAAAGTCTCAAAATCAGTGTGACCAGTGCAGTTGTGATTCTGTCAGTAACTGGTATTTCTTCCAAAGCACCAGCTGCCAGGAGCATGTGAGAATCAATAGCAGGTTTCTTTTAAGAACAGGCTAAATTTGTCGACACGACAACTGCTAGAAAGCTGGAAAACATAATCCAGCATAACCTAATGCTCAAAATTAAAAGACAATTCATCACTTGAGCAAGTATTACTTAGAAAAAAAGGAATTGTATGATTTTTAAGCCAATTTATAGTTTCTGAACCTAGAGTTCTGGCAACATTACAACAATTTTATTGAGAGAGAAGAATATGGAGAAAATAACGTCATAGAAAATTACTTACCAGGATCAATTTTCTTTGAGGTTTCAAGAGCTTGGGCTTGGGAAAATTATTGGCTATTGGAGCTATGGAAATAAATATTAAGGGATCATTTCATATTATCATCATTCACTGTCATTTTTAGTATACGCATTAGCAATTTATAAATTACAGATTAATAGCAGATTAAGAGCAAATACATGTACTTATACCAGAGTTTAACTCTATTTCAGGTAAAATTTTACAATGAAACATAGGGCTTATGAATTAGAAAAATTCATAAGATTAAAGAATCTGATATGCAAAACATGCTGTTTGTGTGCGGAAGCCAGAGCAAATACACCTCTTGAGATCTGGTCACTTGTGATCTAATGCAACTAAGCCTTCAGGTCCTTCCCCTCCTCTCTGCCAGTGGCTCAACACTGGCAGTAGTGTTCAGAAAGTTCACCCAAGAGTTTGTGTGATTAGCCCTGAAGGCAATTGCAAATCCTCTTTGAAAGTGAGGTTCCCCAAGAGGTTGATCTTTGTCTGCTCAGCTTGTTTAACTTCTCAAGTGCACCTGCAATTTTAAGAGTGCAATGTGCTGGCTTCTCTCAGTGTAACTCCAACATGAAATTTCATCTTGCCTAATCTTCTCTTCGAGCAGTATGAATATTCCTCTCTCTTCTCTGATTAGTGGGAGCTGAGACCTCTCGCCTGGACTTGGTGACCAGCTTTTCAACAGCTAAAGCTGTAGGGAGGTGAGAGCCTGGTCCCAGCAGCAGGCACGGGCCATTTCTCCCCCCACTGACAGCAGCAAGCACAGGTCACCCCACAGGCACAGTCAGTGGCAGAGTGCAGGAGTCCTGACATCCCATGCTCTGCTGTCCCTCCATGGTTGTGCTTGGGATTTGAAATACATCTTCATCTCTGTTTTCATACCTTTTGCTGGGATGGCTGGTGGCTGCTCCACTTTCTCTTTCTTTTTCTTTACCTTCTTGGGCTGTAGAGGGGACGTGCTTGTCACACTGGTAACTGTCTCCCCTGAGCTGCAAACCAGAGACCCATAGGTGAGGGAAAAGTGAAGGCAATGTAGGG